CCCTAAACCCTAGCTTAGGGTTTAGGGTTTAGGGTATAAAACCTAAACCCTGAACCCAAATCTAGTGAGGGAAGCTTAAATACAAATATGCCAGCGTCTGGCCTAGCTTCTGCGGGAACTGACACGACCGAGACCCAGAAGCCATATGGGATCATGCCATCGAAGCCAACGGCATGGGCTTCCCAAACGGTCGTTTGTGGCAGCACATCGAGCAGAACGAGCGTGAATGCCAGGGCTACCCCAAGTACCCAAGAAATCCTTAGGGGCTGAGTACCCTAGTCCAAAAAAGGGTTAACCTTTTGAATTATAGTAGGATTATAAGAGCCCCAAAAGGTTAAAGGTTACCTGTTCAGCCACTAAGAATCAAGAAGGAATGCCAGCCTGTCTGCATCATGAGCGCCAGGAGCTTCCATCTTCCTCCTGTGTGCCATGTGTGCGATAAGAACTTATCATATGACGATGTCGGCCTCGAAGACTTGTATAACTTCAACCTTTGTGACCAGGTCAAAGCAGATGGGTCGCACAACCAGAGAGTGCCTCCTTGCCGAAGTGTTTTGCGCAGGGAGATCCCTCGCATCAGACTGCTGTCTGTGACGTCGATTCCTGTAAGGTCTGTCAGCTTCGAGTTGTTCCTTTGAACTGGCGATTGCGAGATAGATCCGTGGTGTGAGGGGTGTGAGCATGCTGCATCATGCCCTGTCGTTGACATTGTGGTGCCATCAAGGTCGTAGTCTTGCAATGAGGGATGGATGTAGTAGTCCTCTGACTTCGAAAAATCGGACGGCTTGGCCGTGTACTGATGAGATTCATTGCTGAACGCCGTTTCGCCTGCAGGATCGCCCGACGAGCTGCAGCATTTTCCGGCGAGGTTCTCTTCGAGCTCTTCGTTCCCAGTCTGTGCATGACAGCAAGTCTGAAAAGCTGAAAATTGCTGTGCCATGTCGCCCCCTTTTTGCTGGGCTCTGTCCGCAAGGCTGGACTCGAGCCACAGAGCAGTCCACCGGGGAAAGAGATGCCAAGGCCGATACCTTTCCGCAGAACCCTAAATTCTAAGCCCATAAACCCTCAACCCTAAACCCTGAAGCCTAAACCCGAAGCCCGTAAACCCTCAACCCTAAACCCTAAACCCTGAACCCTAAACCCTAAGCCCATAAAACCCTAAAGCCTAAACCCTAAACCCTGGACCCTAAACCCTAAGCCCATAAACCCTCAACCCTAAACCCTCAACCCTAAACCCTAAACCCACAAACCCTAAACCCCAAGCCCATAAACCCTGAACCCTAAACCCGAAACCCTGAACCCTGAACCCATAAACCCTCAACCCTAAACCCATAAACCCTAAACCCTAAGCCCATAAACCCTGAACCCTAATTAACCCGAAACCCTGAACCCTAAACCCTGAACCCGAAGCCCATAAACCCTAAAGCCTAAGCCCCACAGAACCCATAATTCCTACATCCTCCCAAAATCACGTCGTAGCCTGGCCTGGCCTCAACTCTCGATCCCTGCCGGGTGTAGGGTTTAGGGTTTAGGGTACCCGGACCCCAAAAAACCATGTAGAACAAGAGCCTTTAAGAGGTTTCGGCTTTAGGGTTTAGGGTTTAGGGCTTAGGATTATTTCCACCTACTTTCGGAAGTTTAGGTACAGATCATGCTCATTGCTTCGACTCCCGCGGTGCGCCTGGCAAAAACTCGCTCAACCTCGCTGTCCTTCGCACAGGTCTGGGGTTGAACCTTCCAAACCATCTCGGGATGGGTGCTAGTTAGGGATTAGGGTTTAGGGTTTAGGTAGTACCTAATAATAACTAATAAGAAAGATGCTGTTCTCCTAAAGGCAGATACCGAAGTGCAGGCAATTTTGAATTCGAAGTCTTCGCAGGCATTGGGTCTAAACCCGTGCAGGACGCGGAAGAAAAGCTTCAGAGTTTCTTTGGGCTTACTGGGGGTCGAGGTGGGTTCGGAGTTTCTTGTATGGAACCCCCCCTCAACCCTAAACTCTGAACCCGTAACCGTAACCCTAAACCCTAAACCCTCTGCCCCAAGCCCGGAGGCCCAAAACCTAAGCCCAAAGCCCTAAACCGTAACCCACCCTAAACCCTCAGCCCTAAGCCCTAAGCCCTAAACCCAAAGCCCTAAGCCCTAAACCCTAAACCCAAAGCCCCAAGCCCTAAACCCTATATCATCCCTATAT